CTGATTGCAAAAATCTTGATCATTTGGGAAAATGTGGACACCAGGTTTTTTTCACGGCCATAAGCTATTGAGTTCTTTTGAGTATTTCCACAGTATGGCACAGAAGGTCACTTACAAATTCATAATGGCCATACAGAAATTAGAGGGAAGGAAGAGCTACATGAATTTTAGGGTACCCAGTTTCCTAATTCATAGTGCTGAGGGTAAAGGGAGATCCCCTATTACTTATGTGCCTGTTAATGTCCAAAAGATGCCTTCACTTTAACCAATCCAAGTTGGGAAAGGGGCTCAATCACACCATTTACATGGCTGCCCATCAATCATTTCCCCAAAAGGCAAGATTGCACAAGCTACCATAGCAGGACCTTATGGTCCCCCAAAAGCACCACACTTGCATCCTCGGAAGTTATGTAACAGTCAAGTGCATCAATCACATACCTAACGCCTCATGCACTTTGCCCCGGCATGTACATTTGTGCCACGCATTACAAGAAGAAATGTAAACGCTCCATACACCATACTAGTAATGGAGGCAAATAAGGGAGAAGCTATATTCGTTAAGTGACCAGGGATCCACATGAGCAGATTAAGAGACCCCCAAGGGGCATGGGGAGCGCTCCACATTTCTAATATCCTGCTTCTCTAGCCACCTGTGGGGTGAGGTTGGAGAACAGTAAGAATGAGTAGCCACACCCTGTCTGCTTTTACGCAGCATGTGTCACGCTGCTCAAGCAAACCCCACTGCCTGGAGTCCAACGACCAGGTAGGGCACAGAGGCCTGTTACATAAACTGGGAAGGGCCGCCTTCGCTGCATCCCACCCTTCTCCACCCTCCTACCCCCAATGCTTTAGGGAGTTCTACTCCTGAAAATCTAAATCAAAGCCCTCTAGGATATACTTCCTTTAACGCATGACTTTTGAAATATGGGCCGTTCCTCATTTGCTTGGGATGGTCTAGGGCAGCAGGGAAAGGAAAGTAACCAAATGACCTTTCAAGGTCCCTGCCTTGGGGCCTAGGATTTTCCAGACTAAGCCTTAGGTGCCAACTCGCCGACTGGGAACTGGAGGAGACGGAAATAGGAAAGGATAGGAAAGAGATTAAAGTGGGCCCCGGCAATCTGAGCTGTGACTCCGTGGTTCCACCCCAAAAGGGCAACTACAGCTTACTTAGTGGATTGGGAGAAAACGAGGTTAGAAACCGTCCAACCCGGGCAAAGTATCAGCCACCATGGTCAGTAGCCTCGCCCCGCATGACTAGAACCCATAAGGCCGAATCCAGGACTTAAAGCAACTTTGGGCAGGCGGAGAAGCAAGTTGGCCATGGCCAGAGGGCTTCCGGAGGCCAGAGGGCGCGCGGGCAGGTGTACGAATTACCTCATGACGACCCGCTTCCCCTTCACGTCCAGCTTGTCCAAAGTCAGCTTGTTAGAAAGAGACATCTTGGCAATGCAGCAGCGGCGAGAAGGCGAGAGACCGCACAACGAGGGAGACAGTAGCAAGTGTGCGCTGGGGAACGTGCGCGGACGCTGAGATGCTCGCGGGCCTCACCACCCCGCCCCCAGCCCCGCCCTAGCCCCACCCATTCTCGGCAGTAGTGCGCGGCGCGCCACTTACAGATTCTGCTATTGGACGCAGCGGAAAAGCGTCGGCGCGCTTCCATTGGTCCAAACCTCTGTCAGTCTGTGAGGGAGGTGGTCGGACGTGCGGCTACCGTTTGTCACGTACCGCACGCAGCGACCCGGAACCTTCCTGGGAACTTTCCTGACGAAGGGCGCCACCGGGAGGTGGCGCCACAGGGCCCCTGTAGAAGGAGAAAGGAGCACGGTGGCGCCACGTGAAAAGAGTGGAAGGCGACAGGCTACCGCCTCTCCCGGAGCATTTGCAGCTTCGCACAAACCTACATTCCGGGGAAAAGCGCCACCCCCAAGCTCTTGGAATACCCGGCAGGCATACTGGGATCGATGCTAATGGTACCTCCCTTTGGAAAATTTCTGATTTTCTGGCTCCTCAAAATATTACAGCCTACATGGAAAACAGCTTGGCGGTTTCCTATAAAATTAAACCTACACTTACAATATGACCCCGCAATCCCACATCCCACGTGTTTATAGCATCTGTATTCATAATTGGTGAAAACTGGAAACAATCCAGATGTCCTTGAATAGATACACAAACTAAGACACAACTGCTCAGTAATACAAACGAATGGACCATTGATATAAGCAACAATTGGCATGGCAATCATTTTGAATAAAAGAAGGCATATTCCAAGAGTTAACATATTGTATAAGATTCCAAATGTATGATGTTATGGAAAAGGCAAAAGGAGATGGAGATCAGATCATTGGTTGGCAAGGACTAGGAGTGGGGGGAATGTGTGACTACAAAGAAATACATGAAGAAGATTTTTGTGGTAATGAAACGATTCTGTGTCCTGAGTGTGGTAAGGGTTGCACGAATCTATCCATGTGTTAAAACTCATAGAACTGTCCCCGAAATAAAAAAGTGGAAAAAGGAAAAACCTCTACAGGCTAGTACTGCATGACTCAGACAGAACATGTGTAGCAACTGGATTCACCCCATGAGCCCTGAGGTGGTAAGTTCTGCTCTTTAGTTTGTAGTGCAAGCATTAAAATACAACGTCTCAAAATAACCTATGGTGTTAGAAGTCAGGATAACAGTTTCTGTTGGACAAGAGGAATGGGTAGTAACTAATGAGCTATATGAGGGCTTCTAGGGTACTGGCAATGTTCTATTTCTTAATCTGATGGGTTAGGTTAACCAGCTTTCTGGTTTGCCCAGGACCAAGGGGTTTCCCAGGAAGCAAGACTTTCAGTACTAAAACCAGGAGAGTCCTGGGAAAACTGGAACACCAGGCCACTGTAGCAGTTATATGAGTGTGTTCACTTTGTTAAAATTCATTCTGTTATATATTTATGATCTATGCACTTTCCTGTATGCATGCTATAAATATTTTGCCTTGAACTGGAAACAGATGAGCTCTGGTTTGCACAGCATACAGTACAACTGTTCTTTACAACGACCTAGACATCTATCGACTCAGCTTAAGGTTGTGGTTGCATTATCATTTTCCTCAGTCATGTCATACAGCTAAACCTTGTGGTAAATTAAACCATTTTTCACATAAACTGCTATTTATTTTTTTACAAAGTTATTTATTTTTAGAGACAGGAAGGAAGGGAAAAAGAGAGGGAGAGAAACATCAATGTGTGGTTGCCTCTCACACACTCCCTGCCAGGGACCTGGCCCACAACCCAGGCATGTGCCTTGACTGGGAATCAAACCAGTGACCATTTAATTTGCAGGCTAGCGCTCAATCCACTGAGCCGCAGCAGCAGGCCATGAACTGCTATTTAGACATGCTCTCCTTCATTTATACAAATAATTTCTAAACCTAGAGACAGGTTTTTAGATTTTTCCCTATTAAACTTTGACCTGTTTCTGCTCTTATTCTGTTACATTTTACTGAAACATATAACGGCTTTGGGGACTCAGTGTTTTACCCTGGACCCCCATGATCTTTTGCATGCTATGAAAAGGTATGGAAGAGCTCTCCAGCCACTCAATTCTATCTCCCTCACCCACCCTTGACATTATAGAGCACCATCACCATTTTTCCCTAAGTTATACCTCCCAAAACAGCAGTTCAAACAAGTACATGCACCCCTATGTTCATAGCAGTGTTACGTACAATAGCCAAGATGCGGGAACAGCCTAAGTGCCCATCAGTAGATGAGTGGATCAGAAAGCTGTGGTACATTTACACAACAGAATGCTATGTGGATGTAAAAAAGAAAGAACTCTTACTTTTTATGACAACATGGATGGGCCTGGAAAGCATTATGCTAAGTGAAATAAGCCAGTCAGAGAAAGACAAGTACCATATGATCTCACTTATACATGGAATCTAATGAATGAAACAGACTAGCAATCAGAAGAGAGGCAGAGGCATGGATGCATGGAACAGACTGACGGCTATCAGAGGGGAGAGAGGGGAGGGGGGCTGAATGAAAGAAGGTGAAGAAATCAGCCAAAGAACACGTGTGTATGACCCATGGACTTGGACAATGATATTGGGATAGCCTGAGGGAGGGGAGGGGAAGCTGAGTGCAAGTGGGGAAAGGGAGAAAAAGCAGGGACAATTGTAATAGCATAAACAATAAAATACAATAAAAAAAAGAGACAGAGATTGGAGTGATGCAGCAATGAGGCAGGAATGGCAGCCAACAGCCACCAGAAGCTGGAAAACTCAGGGTACGAACATTGTCCTCTAGAGCTTCTGCAGGGATCATGGTGCTGCCCACACCTTGATTTTGGACTTCTGGCCTCCAGAACAGTGAGAGAATAAATCTCTGTTGTTTTAAGCCACCATCCTTATAGGAATTTGTTACAGAAGCCACGGGAACCGAATACAATGCATCACTCTTTTCTCTCAGTTAACACATTAGGACTGGACCATGGGAGAGGGCAGATGTGGGTCGGAGGAAGAGGGGAAATATTATGATTTATTAAATAACCACCAGGTGGCAGTGCTGTGCAAGGGAGCGCATAAAAACCTATTCTAAAGTTACTTTACGTTCTCCCTCTTCCCTCGGATATCAACTTTCATCATTCCAACCCACTGATCCAAAACTTCCTTCTGGCCCTAAAAACTGCACACTTGGGCCTTGGACGTCCACGGGTTAGATGATAGATGTTAGGTTGGGCATGCCAGGGATTGGTAAGCAATGAAACGAAAGATTTGTCTTTTAGTACTCTACAAATTTTTTTTAATATTAAATTTTATTTAGTTACTTTTCAAGTACATTTTTTTTTATCTATTTCCCCCATCCCACCCCACCCCCCCACCCGGTCTCCCTCCTCCCTCTCATTCCCCCCCCACAGTCCTCATCTCTGTGTCTTTCATAGTTGTTCCTCAAAATCCCTCCCCCTTTTTCCCCTTAAGTTCCCTTCCCTCTCCCCTCTGGTCGCTGCCCACTTGTTCTCTATTTCAGAGTCTTTGTTTTTATTCTGTTTGCTTGTTTGTTTTATTCTTTAGCTTCCTGTCAAAGGTGAGATCATATGGTATTTGTCCTTCAATGCCTGGCCTATTTCACTCAGCATAATGCTTTCCAGTTCCATCCATGTTGTTGCAAAAGGTAGTAGCTCCTTCTTTCTCTCTGCTGCATAGAATTCCATGGTGTATATGTACCACAATTTTTTGATCCATTCATTTACTGATGGGCACCTAGGTTGCTTCCAACTCTTGACTATTGTAAATTGTGCTGCTATGAACATTGTGGTGCATAGGTTCTTTGAAATTGATGTTTTAGGATTCTTGGGGTATAATCTTAGCAGTGGAATTGCTGGGTCAAAAGGCAGGTCGATTTTTATTTTTCTGAGAAAATTCCATACTGTTTTCCATAATGGTTGTACCAGTCTGCAATCCCACCAACAGTGAACTAAGGTCCCCTTTTCCCCACACCCTCTCCAACATTTGTTGTTTGTTGCTTTGTCTATTATAGCCATCCTGACTGGTGTGAAGTGGTATCTCATTGTGGTTTTAATTTGCATCTCTCTGATAGCTAACGATATTGAGCATCTCTTCATGTGTCTCTGGATATTCTGTATGTCCTCTTTAGAGAAGTGTCTGTTCAAGTCCTTTTCCCATTTTTTAATTGGGTTCGATGTCTTCCTAGAGTGGAGTCGTGTAAGTTCTTTGTATATTTTGGAGATTAAACCTTTGTCTGAGGTATCATTGGCAAATATGTTTTCCCATACAGTTGGTTGTCTTTTTAATTTAATACTGTTTTCTTTAGCCATGCAGGCAAGAAAATCTCAGATATTCCACGCAGCAACATTTTTACGGATATGTCCCCTAGAGCAAGGAATATTAGTACTCTACAATTTTAAGCAACACTCTACTGTCAACACTGTAACCTTTTAGAAAAAACAGCCTAGGATTCCCTTCAGGAATGGCCTTTAGCAGATGTTGAGGTGGACAAAGCTGCTGGCCTTTATATTTCTAGCTGCTTCTCTTCAGTAAGCCCATCCTCTGGCACCCATTGCTCTTTCTGCCCCAGGTCCTTCAATCATGAGGGAGTAGAATTTCATAGCTAACATCTATGGACCGGCCAGGCATCCTGCTAAACCCGTCTATACCTTATTCCATTCAATCCTTAAAGCAGCCTAGAAAAAGCTATTATAATTATTCCGATTCTACAGAATGAAAAACAGGTTTAGAGAGGTTGGGTAACAGGGTTACAGTTCCTAACCGGTTGAGTCAAGCTTCAAACCTTAGTCAGCTGATATTAATTGCCATACTTAGTGCTATCTGGCTTCTATCTTTCAGGGTTAAGGCCCAGTTTCAAGGCCAGGAGAGGAACACAGGTGTGCTGTTTCCTTGAGTGGTGGGATCCAAGACACACTCCATCTCCAGGGAGGTTATTAGCACTTCAGGAAGGAATGGCTGTCTCCAGTTTCAGCAAAGATGCCACACCAAGCATAGCTCAGGGGCAGAAGAGCCCTCAGATTTCAGAGATCCGACTTGGACACTGGGCATGCAAGGGGTAATTAGTGCGGACTGAAGACTGGAGAAACTGCCCCAAGTTTTTTGTTTTTTGTTTTTTTTTGAGGATGCAAAAGAATAAAAGGTCAGTTTTAGTTTTTTAAAACCCCTGAATGCTTTTCTACAGAAGCTCTCCACTTTTTTTCTTTACACAAGAACATGACGGGTTAGTGTGTAAAAGTGAGGAGCCCACACCGATTTGAGCTTGAGTTTTCCACCAGTCTTGCAGAACAGGACCTCAAAATCAGATATCATTCGATTTGAAGAAAATTAAGTAATATGATTTTTCTTGCATGGTCCATATGGCAGTTGTAAGTTATGTCCTGCTACCATGTAATATTTACCCCATAAGCATCCAGCTGATGATATCATCTCCCACACAAATGGCCTCACATTACTATTTACATTTTTCAAAATATTCATCCATTTCTACACAATTCAGGAGACTGGGAAATGTTTGAGTGTACCTTGAAGGATGAACAAGATCAAAATATAGGATATCAGTTATTTGGATGCAGGGAATACTGAGGTGATAGTTACTGTATTTTGCTGTGTCCAATGCACATTTTTGTGCCCAGATTTTTGAGGGAAATAAGGGAGTACATCATACATAGGCATAGTGATTGTATACCATGGGCATGATAACAGGCATAATAATGCCATGTATAATGCGCACAAAAGCATGGATGCGCATTATACATGGCACAATGCAGTATTAATGTAGGGCTTGGATAAGCAGTTTTATTTTTGAGTCAGTTCTCCAGCTCTCACAGAAATTCCCACAGGAGGATGGTGAGAGGATGGCAGCCAACTGGATGAACATTCATCAAGTCTGACACAGTGCCAGTTTCCATGCCCTGGATTGCTGGCTATCAGTTTAACAAAGGTCTTGTCCAAAACATGCCCACCTCTCTTCATTTATGTTACAAAGAGGCCTGGCTGGGATCCACTGAAGTAATCGTTCAGTTATCCCTGCCACTAAACCTTCTGCCCTTCAGGGCCGTTTTCCTCAACAAACTCTTCCCAGAGCCTTAGGGATCGGGGGAAACAGAAGGAGGAAGCCAGCAACTAAAGACCAAGTCCTTGCAGAGAGACAATCACGGAAGTGTCCGTGCGCTACCACTTGCACTACAGGCTGACTTCCTTTGGGTCCCTATGGTCCCTCTTGCTCCAGGAATCCGTAGCACTTTTCCTGAAGGGAAGTCCTGCCTGCAGAAATTTGAAGCACTTTTGCCTAATACAAGAGCCGCAGCCCCTAAGCTGGGTGTTGCTTCTGCCAGGCATCATCTACTACGGAACGCTGGTTTGTGTCTGATGTCTGAAGCAGGAAGACACTAGAGACCACGCCCCTGCCGGAAACTGCTCTATCAAGGCTGTTTTATTATAGCCAGGTGATCATTTCTGCAGTTCGTCAAGGCTGCTTTCCATGAAGTAAGTTGATGGGCCCAAACTAGGCCTCTCTTAACTCTTGGGCTCTGACTTAAACAGAGGAAGAAGCTGACCATTGGAATCTTATGCTCTAAAGAAGAATACACCAGAATCTCAATGTCTCTCTCTCTCTCTTTTTTTTTTTTTTTTTGCTTTTATTGAGGTCTGTATGCAATCTTTCTATTGTTACAGATTCTTAGAAGAAGTACAATTTGTTCTATCTTGACAGAAACTGATTTGGAGAAACTAGGTGGACAATGTTCTCAAGCACCTATGAGGGGTCTCCTGATCACCAGAGTGTCAGGTGACATGTCTTCCAAGTCTCCCTAATGTAACAGATATGCTCTCCAGATAACTAATCCCCTAGAGTGCAGACACCATTCCTCAAGCAGCCCCCTTCACTCTTCCGACTGCCCAAAAGACATTAACCACATGATCTCGGGTCTCGTGGCCAGAAGCAGTTCACATCCTTTTCCCTGCAGAACATGAACACTCAGTCACACCCTTAGCCTCCACACACCTTGGACAACATTGCCCTTGAGGTCACCAAGACTTCCAGTCACTCAACCACAATTAGCTGTGCATTGTCCTTCTCCACAGACTTGTTGCCCAGAGCATTTCTAATACGAGCCCAGAAGAGTGGCCTCTCATGGACACTGTCTGGCCAGGTGATAAACGTCTGCCTGTTCACAAGTTTCCTGAGTCGGTGGTAGCTGGATAACTTATAGTTTGGAATCTCTTCCAGGAAGATCAGGATGATGACATCCTGGTGCTCGTAGAACATCTTGATGCTGGCCAGCTGCACTTCGAGGCGGCACCATTCACTGTGCAGGTAGTGGTTACTGACCACACACAGAGTCTTCCTGCTGGTGTTGATGGCATTCTGAATGTTCTCAAAGATGTCTACCCCAGGTTCAAAGTCCCGGTGGTGAAGACAGAGCTTAAAGGCGGGCTGGCCATCTTTTTCGAGGGCTGGAACAAGCTCTTCGTATACCCACTGCTCATCAGTGGCAGTGAAAGAGACAAAGGCATCATAGAGGAACTCTTTCTCTGTCCTATGCCACTTGGCCTGGTACCAGGCTCGAAATATGTACAGCCCATACCATAGAGATGAAGTTATTTTGGCACCGAACCAAGAGAAGACCATTGTCGTGAGGACTAGACTGAAAGAGCAGAAGAAGTAAACCTTCGCCAGGTCAAAATTGCACATAGCATCATCGAAATCTACCAACAAACTCTGGGTATTTGGCTGCTGACAAGGGTAGCTCCGGAGGTAAGGAATATGGACATTTGCTGTGTTTATGGACCAGTTCTTGAGCCACACATTGTCACAGGTGCACCGAAGTTTGTTCCCATAGAGATCAAAGTATCTCAGGGACTTCAAGTTCTCCAGATGACTTTGATTAATGACTTGTAGATTGTTGAATCTTAAAGAGAAGACCTGAAGGCTTTCTAAGCCAGAGAACATACCGGGAGTCAGTGACTCAATGTTGTTGTTTTCCAGGCGCAGCATTTGTAGTCTTTTGAGTTTTCGAAATAAGGAAACATTTAAATACAGACTCCGGTCTCCAGATTTTGTTCCTGAGATATCCAGCTTTGTAAGATTAGTCAGGCAGTCAAATTGGAGATGGTCCAAGAATACCATGGAATTTTTGCCTAGGAGTAGCTCCTGCAAGGCGTTCAGCCCTTGGAAGAAGTTGGTTGGAACAACCTGAATCCCATGCATTTGTCCTTCTAGGTTGAGTTGTTTCAAAGACTTGAGGTTCATAAATGGGGGAAAGCTTAAGGTCCTGGTGGTTTCATATGTAATTTTATTAAAACTGAGATTCAAATCTTCTAGATTTTCAAGGCCCAAAAAAATAGTTGCACTGAAGCTTGACAAGATATTGTATGCCAGGTCAAGTTTAGTAAGGTAAGTAAGGCCAGAAAATGCATTCTTCTCTATACTATTCAGGCGGTTCTGGGAGAGAATCAGAACTTGGAGTTTCTTCAGAAAATGAAAGGTTTTGGATTTTAGAGTTCGAAGATTATTGTATCCGAGGTCTAAAATCTCTAAATTTGGAAACTGAGCAAAGGAATATTTGTCGATTTGCACTATCCAGCATCCAGCCACATTGAGCTCCTTCAGAGAATACAGCCCGTAGAAGGCCAGAGCACTGAGTTCTGTGATGGGATTTTTAGAGAGGAAAAGAAATTGTAGGGACCTCAAGGGTGAAAATGCAAAATCTGGAAATCTTTTAAACTTGTTGTGACTGAGATCTAGGATCGTCAAGTTCTGGAGGACAGTCCAGGTCTGGTTGGTGACAAAGGAAAGTTGGCACCTGTCCAGTTGCAGCCTTTGGAGGCTGGGTAAGCCATTGAACTCACTGTCATTGAGGTGAACCAGATTAATGTTTTGTTTCAGGTCAAGGGACAAAAGCCTGGTACAGTTGGCAAGATGTTTTATGTCCCCTGCCCCAGTGGCCTTTTTCCTAAAGACCAAGGCCTCTAACACAGGCAAGTTTCTGAGGAAATGACACACACTGCTGACGTTTACATAATGACTGCCTCTAAACTCCTGGTCGCTAAGGTCTATTTCACTTAGATTCTGTAGGTGTTTGACTGGAAGCATCTCCAATCTCACTGATGTCCCACTCAGATTTAAACTCCTCAGCTGGGGCAGAGTCTCCAGAGCCACATGCTGGATGTCTGCCATGCTGTTCTGAGAGACATCCAGAGTGGTCACATTAGGCAGTGACAAAGCAGAGAAATTTAATTCCATTAGCTTGTTCCCCTGCAGGCTCAGCTGGGTCAGGGAAACCAACGACCTGGGGCTGTGGTCCAAGATGCTGATGTTGTTGTGAGTGAGATCAAGGTATGCCAGGCATGGGAGATGCTGGACTGCTTCGAGAACATTTGAAAAATTGGTAATATGGTTTCTAGACAAGTTTAAGTGTTTCAATTTGAAAAGAGAGACAAAGGCATTTTTGTGAATATTGGTAATTTGATTATGGCTCAGGAGCAAAGTCTCCAAGTTGGACAGGCCCTCAAAGGAGTCGTTCACACTGCGAATATTATTTTCTACCAAGTTCAAAAGGGTCAGATTTTCAAGTCCCCAAAAAGCCCTCTTCTCAATCTTCCAAATGGAGTTCCACTCCAGTCGCAAGTCTACCAGAGCAGACAGATTAGTAAAGCCGTAAGGAGGAAGGGTTTGAATTTGGTTTTGTGTCAGGTTGAGGTGAGTAGTGTATCCTGGGATGTCAGAAATGGCCTCTGTCAAGTTGGTGATCTTCTTCCGAATACAGAAAACATGGTGAATGTCCAATTCATACTGTGCACATTTACTGAATCCATATGTCTCTGCCAAAGACAACAGAGAAAATCCAACGGCAATGAGGCAGAGCTGCTGAGGAGGCAAGGGGTTCTCTAAGCCCATCTTGTCAACCCCAGACTTCAGAGTTAGCGTTAGAAAGAATACACTTTTCTGTGTCTGATGTTCATTTTTGAAGAAATGATTCTTCCATGTGACTTCGCTGCAAAGAAAAAAGAGAAAGTCATTTTGTTTAAATTTCTCTGTCAATATCTCCTTGCTCCTTTAAGAAGATGAAATGAAAATTCTCCCCAAGTTAACTTCCAAAACAAATCCATTTCGTTTTTTAAATTAATTAATTTGTTTTTATTTTAAAATTTTATTTATTTATTTATTTTTAGGCAGAGGGAAAGAGAGGGAGAAAGGGAGGGAGAGAAACATCAATGCATGGTTGCCTCTCATGTGTCCCCCACTGGGGACCTGGCCTGCAATCCAGGCATGTGCCCTGACTGGGAATCGAACTGGTGACCCTTTGGCTCACAGCCCACGCTCAATCCACTGAGCTATACCAGCCAGGGCTTTTATTATTATTTTATTACTTATTTATCTTTAGAGGGGAAGGGAAGGAGAGAGGGAGAGAAATATCAATGTATGGTTGCCTCTCCTGCATCCCCTGCTGGGAAATGGCCTGCAACCCAGGCCTGTGCCCTGACTGGGAGTTGAACCACGGTTGTTTGGTTCACAGGCCTGCACTCAATCCACTGAGCTACACCAGCCAAGGCAAGAAATCCATTTCTAAAGCAATTCTGTGTATATCAGAAAAGACAAGTGCTATTTCTCCCATAATAAAAAGTATTAGCATACAGAAGCATAGAAGGCAAGTAATTGCATATGTGATTTAATTTAGAGAATTAAGAAATTTCCCAACACCCCTCACATCCCTGCACAATAAAATACCCCCCTTGGTATTTGGGCTGACACCTGAAATTCCACCACTGGAAATGGATGTTGGGTTCTGTGTATCTCAATCCACTTAAAAGAATCATCCATGGTAGGGGGAAAAAACAGCAAGGTTGACAAAGTTTACAGGTTGCCTCTGTCTTTTATTCTGTTTTTAGATTTTTGTTTGTTTATTTATTTTTAGAGAGAGGGGAGAGAGAGAGAAACATCAATGTGCAGTTGCCTCTCACATGTCTCTAACTTGAGACCTGGCCCACAACCCAGGCATGTGCCCTCACTGGGAATTGAACCAGCAACCTTCTGATTGTCAGGATAACCCTCAACCCACTGAGCTACACCAGTCAGAATTAATCCTGTGCTTTTGACAATTTCACCCCTCTGAACCTCTTTTCTTATCTATACTATGGGAGAATGATACCTACTCCCTCATAATGTGGTACAGTTTCAAGAAGACAACTTAAAGTGCCCAGTTTGCTGCCTGGTACACTGGCTAGTTCCATAAAAGGTTATTCCCTTATTTTCACCTAAACCCTAGGCCACCACTAGCACACCATTGTGTAGATCTCCTAGCTTTTGTCTAAAAAACACTGCTATTCACAGAGGAAGAAAGGAAATAGCATAGCTGCATTGGATTGTTGTCTTTCCTTTGTATATATGTATTTTTATGGGCACACACAAATATATGCCATTGTCTAGCATTGTTTTGCAAAGCTAAGAATTACAAAACAAGCATCCATGATAGAAATATATACCTAATAACACAGAACTGTTTTGGATGGGTGCAATGATGATTGGCACAGTATTAGAATGAATAGAATCACAGAGCATGACTTTAAAAAAGCTTTTACAAGTGAAGTAAGTTCCTTACTGCTTACAACATCAGTAACCCTTGGTGCTGTTCGCTTTTCCAATGTTTGTAATTCTTGTGGTAGTAAGTGATATCTCATTGTCTTTGATTGACATATTTCTGAATATTTAAGATTTTAAGAGTCTTTCCATATATTTGGTAGCCATTTGGAGTTTTCTTTCAGTGACCTGGTAGGTATATCCTTTTTCCATTTATCATCGGGGTTTCTTGTATATTAATCCCCTTGTGGTTTGATGATTTAAAGATCTTCCATCACTTAACACTGTCTATGATATTCTTTGTTGACCAGAAATTTATCATCGCGATGTAATAAAAAGCCTTTTTTTTAACTTCCAGCCAAGATGGAGGTGTAGCTGGAAACACTGGACCTCCTCACACAACCAAGTTTAAAAACAACAAAGTTTTAGTAACAAAAATGCCACCAAAATGCAGAAAATTGAACTATATGTAAGTCCAACAACAACAAACCATTCAGTCTGGCTAGACTGGTAAGAGGGGCAGAGTCAGCAACTGGCAGAGCGGGGCTGCGCAGGAAAACTCGGCCAGACCAACCCAGGCAAGGGCAGCAGTTGAAAGATCCCAGGTGTGGGGTTGCAATGGGCAGACCAGTGAGGGCGCAAGGTGGCAGGCTGACCATGGTCACACATTCATGCGCAGATAAACCAGGCAAAGGAGCAAGCAGTGAGACAGACCACAGAGGCCCCAGCAGTGGGAAGCAGCAGAGGGGACCACTATTGCCCCTCTCTGACCCTGCCCCCACATAGAGCATCACAACCCAGCAACTGGGTTGACCTGCCCTGGTGAATACCTAGGGCTCTGCCCCTCATACATAACAGGTGCGAACAGACCAAAACATTATGGCTCAAGAAGAACTCAAAGCTCTAGAGCTAATAACTCTGAGTAACCAAGAAATAGCCAACCTGTCAGATGCACAGTTCAAAACACTGGGGATCAGGATGCTCACAGAACTGGTCAATTTTAGTCACAAATTAAAGGAACATATGAAGGCTAAACTAATTGAAATGAAGGGAAATGCACAGGAAGCCCATAGCGATGGAAAGGAAACTGGGACTCAAATCAAGGGACTAGACCAGAAGGAAGAAAGAAACAACCAAACAGAAAAGAATGAAGAAACAAGAATTCAGAAAAAAATGAGGAGAGGCTTAGGAACCTCCAGGACATCTTTAAACATTCCAACATCTGAATTATAGGGGTACCAGAAGGGGAAGAGGAACACGCATGAATGGAACACTTATTTGAACAAATAATAAAGGAGAATTTCCCCAATCTGGCAAAGGAAATAGACTTCCAGGAAATCCAGGAAGCTCAGAGAGTCCCAAAGAAGTTGGACCCAAGAAGGAACACACCAAGGCACATCATCATTACATTAGCCAAAATTAAAATGAAGAAGAGAATCCTAGAAGCAGCAAGAGCTAAGGGGACAGTCACCTACAAAGGAGTTCCCATCAGACTGTCAGCAGATTTCTCAAAAGAGACCTTACAGGCAAGAAGGGGCTGCAAAGAGGTATTCCAAGTCATGAAATCCAAAGACCTACAACCAAGATTGCTCTATCCAGCAAAGTTTTCATTTAGAATAGAAGGACAGATAAGGTGCTTCTCAGGAGTTTTCATTTAGAATAGAAGGACAGATAAGGTGCTTCTCAGATAGGATCAAATTCAAGAAATTCATCATCACCAAGCCCTTATTATATGAAATGTTAAAGGGACTTATCTAAGAAAAAGAAGTTAAAAAAAAACATGAACAGTGAAAGGACAGCAAACTCACAGTTATTAACAACCACACCTAAAACAAAAGCAAACTAGGAGGACAGCTAGATCAGGAGCAGAACCATAGAAATGAAGATCACATGGAGGGTTAGCAACAGGGGAGTGGGAGGAGGAGAAGGGGGGAGAAGGTACAGAGAATAAGTAACATAGACAGTAGGTATAAAATAGGGGGGAGGGCAAGAATAGTATGGGAAATATGGAATCTAAAGAACTTGAGACACGTGGACAGAAACTAAAGGGGGGATGGTGGGGGAGGGATTGTGCAGGGTGAAGGGGAATGAAGGGAGGAAATAGGACAACTGTAATGGCATAATCAATAAAAATATATATATATTTAAAAGCCTGTTTTTTCCTTTATGATTTTGCATGTGGATTCTTATGTTTTTTAATCATTTCCCTCTTTGGATTACATTAAGTGCTGTACATTTCACTTTACCTCTTCCATTTATGTCTAATCCATCTAAATCCCACCTTTGCATATTATGTAAGGTAGGGATCCAGCTTTAGTCTTCAATTAGCAATGTAGTTCACTAAGAAATAAAAAACAATTTGCTCCTTTTCTGGTGCTTTGAGGGACATCTTTATCATAAGGCAAATTACTATATATACTTGAATGTATTCCTGAGCTCTTTTCTTTTTTTCCCAAGGCACCATTGTTTTATTTCCTTTTTTTTTCAATTAAATTTATGGGGGTGACATTGGTTGATAAAATTATACAGATTTCAAGTGCAGAATTCTATAATACATCATGTGTACATTCCTGAACTCTTTTTTAAAAAATTTATTTATTTATCTTTAGAGGGGAAGAGGAGAGAGGGAGAGAATACCAATGTGTGGTTGCCTCTTGTGCGTCCCCTGCTGGGAACTTGCCTGCAACCCAGGCTTGTGCCCTGACTGGGAATCAAACCACAATCCTCTAGTTCACAGGCCTGTCCTGAACTCTTTTCAGTTCTTTTGTTTACTAATTATTTCCTACAAGGGTGCCAAGCCATTTTATTACTATGGCTTTAAAGTATATCTTAATATGGGAGAAAATGCAGACAACTGTAATTGAACCACAATAAAGTAATTTTTTAAAAAGAATAAATTAACATAAAGGTAACAGAAAGAAAGTATATCTTAATATCTTTTTTAAAGGTTTAATTTATTTATTTTTAGACGGGGGGGGGGAAGTGGAAGAAAGAGAGGGAAACATCAGTATACAGTTGCCTCCCATGTGCTCCCTACTGGGGACCTGGACCACAACCCAGGCATGTGCTCTGACTGGGAATCAAACAGGCGACCTTTTGGTTCACAGGTCCATGCTCAATCCACTGAGCCACACCAGCCAGGGTGTATATCTTAATATCTTATAGGGTGAATCCTTCGTCTTTGCCCTTCGTTCTCAAGTTGATTTTTAGAGTGATAAGCAATTCATGAAATATCTTTCATGATTTAGATACAGAGATATCTCCCAATATCTAAATATAATTTCAGTCTACCAGCTTTCCCCTGAAGTCTTGCTGGAATTTGATTTTGCACTGCACTGAATTCGCAAGTTAATGTGAGGTGGATGGTACAATTATCATGTTAAATCACCCCAAGTATGGACATGGTATATCTTCATG